AAACCATTTCAGGTGACTACCTCTTGAAGCTCATGGAGAGAATGCCAAGAGTGTGCAAAGCAGTAATCAGAGCAAAGGGTGGCTATTTTGAAGAAACTAGAATATAAAACATGTTTTCAGTTATTTCACCTTTTTTTGTTAAGTACATAACTCCACATGTGTTCATTCATAGTTTTGATGCCTTCAGTGAGAATCTACAATGTAAATAGTCATGAAAATAAAGAAAATGCATTGAATGAGAAGGTGTGTCCAAACTTTTGGCCTGTACTGTATATATATATATATATATATACATACATAACAGCATAAAACTATAAAAGTATATTGCTCTGACCTTCATGTAACATGTTCATTATTCTTCTGCAGGTACCTTTGATATGGATAAGAGTGGAAACAAGAATAAGGTAAAAAAGTCCATATTTAATTCATTAGATGTTCAGGAAAATCTAATTTATATCTCATATGGCATTACAATTTTCTAAATACAGGACATATTTATTTACTTATTTACAGCAGTCAGTGAAGAGTTCTGAAGAGATCAACAGAAAGGAACAATATCAAAGAAAAACTGAAACGCTGCTTGGCAGACTTCACCTTCAAGATAAACATCAACAGAAGTTGTCACCAGCAGATTTTCTTAAAGTAGGTCCACCTGTGAAACAGGACCATGAAACATCTGAGAAGGAACTCGAACATACTTTTCTTCAGAGGTTGATGATGTTAGACTACAGAGCCAGATATATTCCTGTAAGACAGGATAGTGATGAGGTGACCCATTCAAAGTCTGTTGTAGAGTTTGACACTGTTGATACAGATGATGATGACTTCAGTAATTTTTGTAGAGCCACTGTAGACTTTGATCAATCAAGACAGACTCACGTGCATCCCATGGATGTTCAAATGGCAGTATTTCACTGCTCAGACAGCTTTTTGAAGCAGAATATGACTACAAAGCTATCACAATGTCAGTATGCCTTACCTTTGCTTATTCCTGACCCAGTCACAATGGATATTGAATGTCCTCTGTGGACTTTCAGACAAATAAGAAAAACATGGAAGGTAACTGAAATCAAAGATAATTCAAACAATGTCACCATGAAGAGAATGCCCATCTACAAAGCTGAGACACCCATGGTGTCATTTCTCCGCCTGGGTTCACTATCTCTGTCTAAGTCACAGCTGATTAACACTTTGATCAATGACCGTCACAGCACCTTCTTCCACAGAAACTGCCCAGGTAGCACCAAGTCTCACCATCTGATAGATGGTGTGGCAGAGATTGCCTGGTACTGCCCTGCAGGAAAACCCAATGATGCCTTCACTGACTGCATTGCCTTCTGTAATCTTCATGGTGATGCTCTGTCAATTGAAAAACAGCGTGACATACTGACTGAGAAATCTTCAATAAATGTGGTTCTTGTACCAACTCTGGGAAAAGGTGATAAATGTTCTGCAGTTATCTCAGCCCTTCTCAAGTCTCCAAAGCCTCTCATATGTCTCATTGCTGATAATGATGGTGGTGCAGTTGAGATGAAAGCGGGAAAATACAAAATGGGTCTTCGAGACAGAAGTCAGTCAGATGTTTCCAAAGAACTGAAAGGAATCATTGGAAGAATTTTGTCAGGACCACATGCATCCTTCCAGCTTGAAACCATGGCTGAAGTCTCTGGAATCAGAGTGGATGAAGATGACAATGTCTGCCAAAAGGGAAAATCTGCTGCAATTAAAATTGTCAACTTGCTTCAGAGGATGGATGTGTCAAAGATCAAAGATACATTTCTCCCTTGTCAAGGCCAACTGTGGCACAAGTGGTGCAGAATAAACAAAGAACTGTATCACCTCAAAGGACACATTGAGAGAGAGAAGTGCCAAAAGCAACAGGAACTGATGCGAATACGACAAGATCAATGCACTGCTTCCTGTAGTAAACTGGTGACATTGTTCATTCAAACCCTCTCGTCGTTGCCATCAACAGAAAGAGAGTATTGCCTGAAGTGGACTCAGATTTTGATTGATGCCCTCTCCACAGATGATCTCTCTTCTATTCTAAGAAGCTATGATGAAAAGTGGTCTGAGGTCTTGGCTTTGAAAAAGAAGCATGACAAATCTGATCTGTTAAAAAGAAAGCAAACTGAGCTTGAACAAATATCAACAAAACTACAGTCTGCCACTTTTGGCTTGGAGCACATCTTTAGAGAAATGGGACAGATCTATGAAGCCCATGCATCTCTGCAGAAACAAACAAAGATGAGAAAAACTGACTGGTCTAAATACCCTGAGCTGGCTGCAGAGCTGATGATATCAGGACACCCAATGGAGCTGATGGATGGTGATGCAGGTCATGTGCCTTTAACGTGGATCTCTAGTCTTTTAGATGAAGTCATCAAGACACTGGGTGACAAAAGAGTTTTTGTTTTGTCAGTGCTGGGTGTACAAAGCAGTGGAAAATCAACAATGCTGAATGTTATGTTTGGGTTACAGTTTGCAGTGAGTGCTGGCAGGTGCACCAAGGGTGCCTTCATGCAGCTGGTCAAAGTTTCAGATGAGATCAGGGAAGACTTTCACTTTGACTACATTCTAGTGGTGGACACTGAAGGACTGCGCGCTCTTGAGTTGGAGGGTAACACCAGTCTTCACCACGACAATGAACTGGCAACGTTTGTTGTTGGTCTGGGAAACATGACACTAATCAACATCTTTGGAGAGAATCCAGCTGAGATACAAGATGTTCTGCAGATTGTAGTTCAGGCTTTCATGAGGATGAAAAAAGTTAAAATTACTCCAAGTTGTGTGTTTGTTCACCAGAATGTTACAGATATTACAGCTGCAGAGAAAAACATGGACGGAAAGAGACGGCTGCAAGAAAAACTGGACAAGATGGCCCAACTAGCAGCCAAAGAGGAGGTTTGTAATGCTGATTGCTTTCGTGATGTCATTGCATTTGATGTGCAGAAAGATGTGAAATACTTTGCCCAACTATGGGAGGGAAGTCCACCTATGGCTCCTCCAAATCCAGGGTATAGTGAGAGCGTCCAAGAGCTGAAGACCATCATCCTCTCTAAAGCTTCACAGTCAACTGGAATTACTCTCTCACAGTTCAAAAGCAAAATTCAGGACCTGTGGAATGCACTGTTGAATGAAAACTTTGTTTTCAGTTTCAAAAACACACTTGAAATTGCAGTGTACAGAAAACTTGAGGACCAGTATATGAACTGGACCTGGGCCCTGAGGAGCAACATATTGACTATTGAGAACAGGTTACATACCAGAATTGAAAATGGAAAACTTGACAAGGTTGAGCTCAGCTATCTTAATAAGGAAATGAATAAAACATATGAAGAAATCAAAAAAGCAATGACAACATACTTTGATGATGACAGAGACAAAGAAATACTGGTTCAGTGGCGAGGACGATTTGAAAGCAAAATCAAGGAGTTTCATGATGACCAAGTGAGAGGAGTCAAAAAAAAACTGGATGAAGTCATTGAGCAGAAAAATGCTTGTAAAAAGCTTGATGATAAGAAGACAGAGTTTGAGAACAAGCTGCTACAAAAGAGCAAAGAACTTGCTCATCAGTTAAAGGACAAGGCAAAAGATGAAGAGGAACTTAAAAAACAGTTCAACTCTGTTTGGAGTGGTTGGGTTAGTGAACTAACTGCAGGCACAAGACCTATTGAGGATATCAACTTTGAAGAAGATCGGACAACTGTCCTTCAGGAGCTTGGTTTTGAATGGACTCTTATAGCTGAATCTGAAAGAAGTGGCAGCTACAAAAAAATGTCAGAGGTTGGTGATTACAGTTGCTATGTAGCTCTCAGCAAGGACCGAGACCTGTGTAACACAGGCCAACATACAAGGAAAAGGGACACAAGAGGGAAAAAAAAGCGTTCTAACGCTGCAAACAGATTCTTTAAATTTGTTTCAGAAACAGCTACAAAAGCAGGATATTACCTTAAGGGATATTTCCAGTATGAAGAACAGCAACTGATCAGATCCTTCATTGACAACATTGAAAAACAGTCCCTTGATGCAATCAAGAGCAAACCTGTCGCCTCAAGAGGATACAGTCCAAATTACTTGCACGAAGTGGTCAACAGCGTCAAGGAAAAAGTGGCAGAATTTGAATCAAACAGGAAATATGCCCTGAAGAAAAAGTTTACAGTTGATCTTTTACTGTATGTGTTTGACAAGGCAGAGAGATGGCTTTCAGAGTCCCACAAGGAATTCAGAAGAAACAACGATGCACTCACTTGTGTAGAAAGCAAGAAAATGCAATATTACAACATTTTCAGAAGCTTCTGCAGAGGAAGCTCATCTGCTGTTGTGTTTGGAGAACTGATCTGTGAAAAACTGAAGAGTTCCACTGTTGAGGCTGTCTGTAACAAGACTGCTATTGATCTTGCTGGAAAGATGATGTGCAGTTTCCCAGCATTCAGTGGGAACAGGTTGAACTTGGAGAAACACTTGCTGAAGTCACTGGCTGAGAAAGAGGACTTTGATGATTTTATCACCTACATCCGCCACCCAAGGAACCAAGCAGAGACTTTTATAAAAGAGCAAGTACAGAAATACATCCTCACAGACAATAAAAATGAAGCACGGAATATACTCAAGAAAAAGGTTGAAGACATCAACAAGCTTGTGAGTCAAGCTTTATTTACTGCAACAGATAAAGTCAAAACCCAGAGAGGAGACTCAGACATGTGGGTAAAGGAATTTTCCAGTTTGCTAAAAGATGAGCTGACATTCGATACCATTTGTTGTCAAAACTTCAGTGACATTAACAATTTTGACTTCCTTAAAGAAGAGATAGAGAAAGGCCTTGTATCAGTTATGAAGGAAGTGGGCAGCATCTCATTGGATAAGATGAAGGAATTCAGGATGAAGCCTGATCAAATCCTCATCGATCAGCTGTGTAACTGCTGCTGGGCAAAGTGTCCATTCTGTGGAGCTGTTTGTACCAACACGCTAGAAAATCACAGTCCTGACAAACATAGTGTGCCTTTTCATCGGCCCTCTGGGATTGAAGGATGGCATGTTCGAGGCACAGTGGAACTGGACATCAACTTCTGCACAACATTAGTTGCAAGTGATCAACATTTCCGCCCCCATCATGACTCAGATGAGAGTATTCCTTACAAACAGTATCAACATGCTGGGAAGAAGTATGCAACATGGCAAATTACTCCTGATGAGTCAAAGCTGACATACTGGAAATGGTTTGTATGTCGATTTCAACAGCAACTGGAAAACCACTATAACTTAAAATTCCAGGGCAGAGGAGAAATTCCTCTTGACTGGCGAACCTACAGTCAAAAAGCAGCTATTGAAAGTCTGGATGAAATGTACAATCTGTGACTGAGCCAGAAACAACCAAACTCTACTCAGAGTAACAGAAAGCCAAAGTGTCTTTAACTGTTCAACAGAAATAGGAGCTTTGAATTTGATTAAAGGAGTGCAACAATAGCAATAATGACAATGGAGTCTTTTCCAAAATGATGAAAACAGCACCTGTTCATAATCTGATCAATATGTATCTTAATGCTTTTTAATGTATAACAGTAGAAATGATTCCTGAAAATGTCTTGAGGCAAATGAGAACACAATGTATGTTAAATTACAATTAAATGATGATTGAAAAAAGAATGAGACAGATCAGAATTTGTCATAAGTTTTTTTTTCCATCAAAAATGTTTTTTCTTATTATTTTTCGTGATGATTAAGATGCATTTAACATGTATGTACTTATTTTAAGGAAAAATATTCAAATAAATGAAAGAGCTTTTATAGTTGTCATGTGTTGTGGACATAATGTCATTACCTTAAAAAAACAGAAATGTAAGTTATGATTTGACTTTTGTTTTTACTATTTTTTACTTTTACATGAAAATCTCATCAAACAGACATGACATGAAACTGATCTAATTGTATGAGTTTCTATAAAAGAAAGCAAAAAATGATCAGGGTGTGAATGTGCAATTCATTCAAAGATGTGTATGTTTCTTTCATTACAAGATGCATGACATTTTCTTTTGACAGTTGTTCAATGTTTTAAGAGCAAACAAAGGTGTAGGCTGTTGAGCTGAGACATTTATAATGCCAATTTCATTAAAAGGCAGCATAGCAGGTGACACAAGGTTTTTTAGTTTTGATAAAAGTTGTAAATAAAAATCTCTGTGATTGTATTTTTTTAAACATTTTTTGAGGGATTTAAAAGAATTGTGAGAATTGTAACAACTGATATGTAGGATGAGTCATAAGATGGATGTTCTGCTTGAACTAATGAAGTGCTGTTGATTATGAAAAAGGCATGAAACTTGTATTTAAGACTTGTCGAAACGGAAAAAAGGGAAACAGTTTTTAGAAGTTGACATATTGTGCAAAAAAAGAACTATTTTTACATTATTTTGTTTATCTTTCTCTATCTGTTGCCCATCTGAAAATAATTTTTACACAAATATTTTCATCTTCATATATTTTTAATTTTGTACTTTTCCTTAAAGTCATATGTTTGTTTGTTTTTTAAAGAATCTGATAAATGATGCTTTGTACTTTTTCAAGTATTCGGAGTATACAATTCTACACTTTTGATTTTTCTTTCTTTTTTTGTTGTTATTTTTGTTTATTTTTTATATTTACTTTTGTTGTTTGCTTAATGTGGCTCCTGTCATTGATATATTGATATCCATAATTACTAACAGAAATATCAGCCTATGTGAAAACAAAATTGGAATTGTTTTTTTTTTCTGTAATAAATAGACCATTCATGCAATCATTTGAGTTCAAGCCTCTTCTGTTAATAACTGGCCTGTTAAGGTGATGACACACCAAACCGACATCAATGAACTAGCGGCGACGAAAGCCAACTGTTGCGTTGTCTACGTCGCGTCACATCGCCCTGTGTCAGTTGCATTTGAACACACTACACGGACTACATCCGACGGCCAAGTAGCACGTACGATCTGCGCCTGCGTGAGAGAGAGCGGAGTGACAGAGTGGTACATCCTGTCAGCCGAGGGGTTTCCTATTTGTGCAGCCGAGCACCGCAACACTTCCACTGGCGATTACATTCAGACGGTCCCGGTGTTTCCTCCGCAGGCTCCACTTCACTCAGCTGCCAGATAAACCCGCTGCTTCTTCCCACTTTAACCTGAAAACCAGGGCTCGGTGCTCCGGTTGAATCCAAACGGAGAGTTGGGTCTAGCTCAGAGACTAGCGGAGGCTAACTGGCTGTGCTTCCCTCCGGTCATGTTGCGGCTAACGCTCCGCTAGCCGCTCCCAGCTAGCCCTGGCTCTCCGTTTGGATGGATTCTAACGGAGAGCCAGGGCTAGCTGGGAAGCAAGCGGAGGCTAACTGGCTGTGCTTCCCTCCGGTCATGTTGCAGCTAACGCTCTGCTAGCCGCTCCCAGCTAGCTCCGGTTTGTTATTCAGGTTAAAGTGGGAAGAAGCAGCGGGTCTGTCGGGCAGCTGAGTGAAGTGGAGCCTGTGTAGGAAGCACCGGTTAGCCCCGGTTTCACCACATGCAGATTCACTTGCTACAGGGGTGAGGAAATAAAGTCAAAGTGCCGACAGTGCGGGACACACCTCAAAAACTAGGCCGACAGACGCTCACCGATGGTGTGTCAGGGCCTTTAAACTTGGTCTTTTCAAAAAGCTAATTAATAATTTGCTTTATAAAAAGATCGGATTTTTTTTTTTTGACACAGTTTTTATATATGTCTTAAGCCATATCCACACAAAGACGGAACCGATTTTGATGTTTAAAAGTTTTCCATAAACACAAAATTGTCTCAAGATATGTGTACGTAAACATGAAGCCACTGAAAACGCTGTAGTATATATGCAAGGCCTGTAAGTGGCGCTGCAACGCTGCCACAAAGTACTCCAAAAACAGAGAATAAGAAACAGAGCATGCGTATAAAACTCGTGCGTACTGTGTTGTAAATACGGAAACGCGAAGGTGGCATCGTCAGATTTTTTCACTCTGGGACCTAGTTTCAAAAGTTGGCGTATTTGGGCTCCTAAAACGCTGGTCCCGTGTTTACAAAAGGTCTATACGATAAAAAACCTTTGCAGATACACCTAATCTCATTTCCATGTGGACATGACCTTAGACCTGCCACAGATCAATCCAAGTACATTCTATTTTAATAACCCAAAATGGTATTAAAGTTGTCAAATATTTTTAGATTTAGTTTTGATTCTGGACATTTTAATCTTGTCTTTATCAAAGAATGAACATTTTTAGTGTAGTTTAAGTCAATAAAAAGACTTGACATTTAAGTAATCAAAAGATTTATTGGCAAAATTGTTTTACATCTAACATTTAAAACTGTAGTTTTAGTAAAGACCAAGAGTGAGCATTGTAATCAAACTTCTCATTTCAGGCTAAAAGAAGAAGACTAAATGACAGACTACATGCTTAAGGATGCAGCTTTGCAGAGAAGGTGTCTGGTCTGATGCTATTAATCTAAACGTGTTATGATTTGCATATTTATCTTTGAACAAACATGACTCAGCAGGCCATAGGATGACTTTGCAACAGACACCACTTATTCTAAAAGTCAACAACAACGACCAGATCTATCATTTTCAGGCCTTAGTGATAATATTGTGCCTGATTGTGTTACAAAAAGTTATATTCAAAAGTGTTATCATAGTCTGTAAGCTACCTATCATAACTTCTTAAAGAATATATTTAAAATGTTTTTGCACATAACACAAAGCTAAAAAGGCAGCTAGCTACTGTCCAGAATATGGAGCAACAATGTCGATAATACCTGACTTCAAATGTGTGTATATTTAATATTGTTCATGCTTCAGTACGGATATACATCACTAACACTCCACAGTAAACAAACTTTTCTTAAAAAAGAGATCTTCCAGTTTAGTGGGGCTACTGAGTTTTAGGTTTTTCTTAACCTCCATATGCATTTTTGTCACAATTTTCTTTAATGTAATTAACTTTAAAGTTTTTAAGGTTATCTGTACAGCATACATACCCCTCTGTCCATAGATCCTTCATATGTATGTTGAAACTGTTTTCTGCATTAGTGTATGTGCCCCAGCTGCAGTGGTCATTTTTAATAGCCTATTGTATAATGACCATCTGCCAAAAACCTGCAGAACCTCAGCTGACATGGATGTCATTGGTTGGTGTGGTTTACTGAGGGAGGGATCAAGTATGTCGTGGTAACACAGTACTTCATAGCATGGCAGTCTCGTCTTAGAACATAAAAAGCACATGCTACCTGGGTGACAAGAGCATGCAGTGTCCACATTATATCTCTGGGTTACAAGTTGTTGTGTGAACTTTTTAAAAATAAAATTATGAAGTTGTTGCATTCAGTTTGTTTAATCTGGCTATATTTACATGCTGTGTCGATACTGCCTTTACTGTAAACACTGTGTGTGGTCTTGCTGCTTACATGAAACATAAATTGAACTGAATAAAAATCTTGCTGACATCATATAATTGATTTGAATCATACAGAAAATGAGATTTGAAGATTTGCTTGATGCAAATGATCTGACTATATCAACTCGGCATGTGTACGGATCAACTCACCGGTGTGTAGAAAATGCACAGATGGTCAAATTAAGTACCATTATGCATTATGGCTGAAGATTTTTATCAATCAAATAAAGAACTTTAAAAATTCTACAACATAATTTGGATGACAGCGTTGGTAAGAATTAACCTTTATTCAGCCCAGTACAAAATCTGCCTCAAAGGTATTGAAGGTTTTTTCTCTGAAGGGTACTTAGGTGGAAAGCGTTCAGAGGGACAGGGAAAAAGAAGCATTGAAGAAGAAAATAAAAGCCTACAGAAATATGTGTGGATTGTTTTGTTAAATGTAACACAACCATTTCAAAATAAACTTGTGTGTAGTTTACTGCATGACTGTTGATAGCCAATCACAGGCTGACACTGTGTTATTCACTCAGCAGAGTGTCTACTGGACAATAAAAAAAGGTCTTGATGAAATGTGGTTGTTGTGTCACTTTTTACGCAGTGAGCCCTGTGGTAAGCATGTTGACCAATGAAAGGCTCTTTTAGTATAATAAGCTGTCATTCTCTCAGAAAGTATGTAACCATCTCAATTCAAACGATGTTCAGACTGTGAAGGCCTTTGAATATACTAAAAGGTTGTAGACTCAGCAGGTTTGAAACCTTTAAGAACTGACTCTTTGACCACTTGGGGACAGCAGATATCAGACTGTGTGAAAACTCACATATTATAAAGTTCAGATGGTACACTGATATATCAGAGGAGCTTTAAGAGTGACAAAAGAAAATGGAGAAAGTACAAAATGTGTTTTGCTTTTAGTTAAACATCACTACCACAGCTTTTAACATCTTTTTCACAAAACCAGCTACAGAAAATGGTTTCATAACTTGTATTAACGGTTCTACAGCTTTGCACATAATTAGTAAAAGAGTATGCATTTAAATTCCCCTCATAACAGGTAAGGCCCATTACAAATGCCATGAGAGACAGTGATACATAATGAACAGTTCACACTTTAAATTATGGGGTTGTAGAAAGCTTTGGAAATGACTTGTAAACATATGCAGATCATTTGTAACAGGTAAGGCAGATCTACCAATGATGTGTCACACATTTACGTGTGATGAATTGTTTAAACTCTATAAATGAATCAGCCGTACTTTCACTCATCATTTAGAACAGATGAGGAACACTCATGAAATAGTTATGATTGCAAATTGCCCATTTTTAGTCTGCACTGCAGTGCTTGCAATTGCCTCTGTAGGCTTTGGGAGGCTGTTTTGGACTAATAAATTCTTGTATGTGTTAAATATCAGTGGATCTCCTGTAACATACTTGCCGGTTTTATAAGCAAGCAAGGGGGAAAATCAATCAATCAATCAATTTTATTTATAAAGCCCAATATCACAAATAACAATTTGCCTCAGAGGGCTTTACAGCATACGACATCCCTCTGTCCTTTGGACCCTCGGATAAGGAAAAAAGGAAAAAGAGCTTTTAAAAAAAAGCTCTATTATTTTCACTTTTAATTTAGTTGTTGCTAATTTAAAACATTTATGCAGAATATCAAGAGATAGAGCTGTCCTCTGTAAACAAAGAAAGAAAAAAAAAATCATTATAGAGTCTAGTATGGAGCAGGGACGATTCTAGGATCAGAGGTTTAGGGGTGCTGAGCACCCAGAGAGCTGCCCGGCCAGGCAAGATAAATTTCACTGTTTTGTACATTTTAACACAATTTCATTCCCACATTTGTGAAAGAAAAACACAACACTTTTTGAGAAAGTCTGTGACTAAACCATCAAATCTGATAAAGGTTATTTAAATGCTGAGCCACAGCAAAAGAGGAATGGATTGGAATCATATGAATGAATGAATGAATGAATGAATAGCCATAAAAACTTAAAGAGGGGTGACCCAGTAACTACTTAATCAGATTACAACAAGCAATTTGTAACCAGCACCACCCAACCTTGAATATTTCTCCCCAAACAAGGCACACATTGTCTATTTGAACTCTGCTAATATAGAACACACCACCACCAGAAATGTTGTGTAATACTGTTGCATTAACAGTTCAGAAAAAGGAGGAGGAGATCAGTGTAGGGAGGCCATAACTCTACAGAGGCACAGCACAGACACTGAACAGATTTTCATAAAAACGAGACAAACCTTTCAGTACAGACAGAAGTGATTCATGATCCCGAGAAATCCGGCACAGTGCTCACAGTCTTCCCAAGATTCCTTGACACAAAGGGATTGGTCCTATAAGACTTCCAGCTGCTGTTTGGAGAGGAGGCCTTATCAAAGCTTCTGGAAGAGTGGGGAGTATTCCTGAAAACAAAAATCATAAAAGAAGCAAACAGCATTTTAAGTTATTTGTGATGATTGAGTGTAATACTTATAGAAGTACGGCAAATTAAAAATAAGGATTGCTTTACATAGTTAACTGTATGACATAAGAGTCTTGCAGCACACTGTTGATAGCCTAAAGGGGTCTTAATGAAAAAGAAAATAAAAGCAATACTTGGGGGGAGGCTTACAAGCTCTGAGTCATCAGTCTGAGAATGGCACTTAGTGCTTACACTGCATTGCTGTAGCACCTGGTTATTTAAAGCTCCCCTCCAGCCAGTTTTACTTTCTCTTCAAATGGTTAATGGTTAATATTGCAGTTAGAGTATTGGAAAACAGCAATATGGCATTTGCATTGATTAATTTACTGTTCATCAGAGCAGTAATGAGATAATTCGCAGAGCACACCGACTCTGTCACAAGAGATGATAGAGAGCCAACGAGAGAGAGTGTGTTGAGTGTGTCAGTGTGTTGAGCTATTTTTGCCAAAGGGATTTTGTGTAATTCAGTGTGTTAATGGCAGCCGTTCACCACACATAGGCTATAAATAAAAAAGATACAGAGAAATTGATTCATGCCTTTATTTCAAGCCGCCTCGACTACAGTGACACACTTTTTACTGGCCTCCCAAAAAACACCACTGAAAGACTTCAGCTCGTTCAAAACTCTGCAGCTCAGCTACACTGACTTCCTGTTACATTTACAATTGATTTTAAGTTCCTCCTCCTTGTTTTCAAAGCCCTACATGGGCTTGGACCGAGCTACATTGCAAACTCTTTTGCCTCCAGGAACATTGGAGGTTCCCAGCAACAGTCAGAAGAAGATCAGGGATGCATCCTTTGTCAATTACGCCCCAAAGCTATGGAACATACTACCTATAGATATCAGGGAAGCTACCTCGCTAAATATTTTCAAATTCACTTTTAAATCTGTTCACTTTAGCCTGTAACTAGCCTTAACTTTTACAATTCTATGATTTTATAATGTCATGATTTTATGACTTTATAATCTATTTCATCTTATGACTTTTTTCTTTTTTCATGATTTTAAGATTTATGGTTAATACTTGTTTTAAACAGTTTTTTAATGTCCTTGTATATTGAATTGTCTGTTTTATGTTTCAACGTTTACAGAAATTGTAAGAACAAAGGTGGCAAAGAGTATTGCAGTTCTGGGGAAAACAAAACACGTACTGGACCATAAATCACTGCACTTTCTGTGTTCATCACTTGTACTATTTGACTTACTGTGTAGAAGTTTGGGGCAACACTTACAAAAGTAACTTACAACCATTATACATCCTTCAAAAGAGAGCAATCAGGACAGCTCACAGTGTGGGGAACAGGGAACACACCAACACACTGTTATAAAGTCACATCCATTGAAATTTTTTGACTGCAATAATGTATAATAGGGGGGTTAAAATTTAGGAGAATTTAATTTCAAAAAACAATGTATTCATACAACTAAGAAGAGTCTGTGTATTTCAGTGTTTGGGGTGGACTTGTGAATGGGCAACGTGATGAGCTGAAACAAAGCCCAAATATAAATCAATTAAAAAAACTATTCAAAAAGATATTTTTGGCAGATATATAGATGAGGAAAGGTTTTGTTAAGGGAGTGCATATTTATTTTGTAACACTGGTTGGTACTTGGACTGTAAGTAGACTGGGTTTATTACTCATTGATTTAATTGGGTGGTAAATAGACTGGGGATAGTTGTATATTAGTTGTAAATCAATTTGGGAATTTGTTGAAATAATATACAAGTTTAAAAAAGAAATGTAAGAAAGGGGTAGGGAGTAGGACATAAAGGTTTTACATCTACCTACTCCTTTGCGTACACTGTTATCTTCGTCTTGTTTGTTTTTCATTTTGTTTTATATTTTTGGTTCAAAATGAAGTCATTAATTCATTCATTTACGTCCATGTTATTATAATTATCACTACTAGTCCATACCCATTGGTAGCTTTGTCACCTTCTACCTATGCCAGTCCTCAACGCCTATGTGCAGTTTCACATAGATTGACCACGTCAGTGAGTAGAAAAATATGGGACAGACAGAATGACTGACTGACAGAATGACACACTGACTGTTTCTGTGATTATGTACAGCATACAATACCATGACTTAGTCATACCAAAATTAGAACCAAACAAACATTGGTCCACAGGGGGAGCCACAGCAATCGGTCGCATTTTAGCCATTTTTAAGCATTTTTCTGTTGTTATAGCGCCACCCAGTTGCCAATTAGAGTTACATTTCTCCAGTCACCTTGAGGCATCCTGTTCTACATATCTACCAAGTTTAGTAAAAATCAATATGGCGGTTAGGCCTAGATAAGAAATTAGCTCTCTAGCGCCCCCATTTTGTTTGATGGGGTCAGTAATGGAGGGGTCCCCTCAGATTATGTGTGGTCATATGCCTACAAAGTTGCATGGTGATGGGTGAAACCCTTGAGATGTTATACACCTTTATGTGATGAGCCACGCCCTCCGCAATATTCATTGCCTTATAGAAGCTCAGTTTTAGTAAGTTTTCCAACTTTTGCCAAGAGGGAACTTTAGATATTGGTCCCTAGATTATGTTCACCCAGTTTCATGCAGATCGCTCAAACTTCCTAGGAAGAGATCCATTTGAAGTGTTTTTCAAAAAATTCAAAATGGCGGAAAATCTATATAAGCGGAAGTTATGGGTTCTTGAGGCAAATGTGTTCCTCATGAGGAGAGGCATCTCTGTGCAAAGCTTCATGTCTCTACGACATACAGGGCATGAGATATGCCCATTCAAAGTTTGCAATTTCAATCGGTTGCTATAGCGCCCCCCTTTGGCCAATTTATATAATATTGCTTAATTTGCATCCTCCCATGACCCTCTACCACTGTGCCAAATTTCACATGGATTGACCAAGTCAGTGAGGAGAAAAACGTGGAACAGACACACAGACAGAGTTTTGGTCATTATATCGTAAGATTATAAATGCCATTATGAAAATAAACAACACACTAAACTTAGGTGGAGGACACAACTACACTGAGAGGTATAACTAAGGCTATCACGCTACAGTTATGGTAAAATAAAACATAAATAGACAGGCTAGCTTACAGTGATTGAGTGTATCATATTTATAACAGTACACCTGTGCAAGCTCGGTGGATGACATGTGACTTGCAGATTCTACTATAGAGTCACATGTCACCTTCCCATATTAGCAACAACCTTCTTATTTTAAACTTTGAGCACAAAATTAAGTCATTTGTTTAAAAAAAATAAATAAAAAAATTAGGCGAACAATGTGGCTAAATGACACTGTCAGGACATGACTCAGAAAAATAATAAATATCATAAAAATACCAAAATACACTGGAGAGAGGCTTTAAGAGTAAAGTCGCTCACCCATAAAAGGAAATGGGATTTGATCTAAGCTTTCAGTTTTACTTTAAAACTATCATCTGGAGCAGTTTTAATTAAAACTGAAAGCTTGAGACTGAATCAGTGCCTCTCTCCTGTTTTTGGACTAACCTCTTCTTGTATGTGTTAAACATCAGTGGATCTGCTGGTTTAATAATTAATGTCTTTCTAAACAAACATGAACTCTTGTAGCAGCTGTGGCTCCGCAAGTCACAGATATTCAGTGTTGACAGCAGTATGTGCTTGGCAGTGTTTGAGTAGTGTGACCTTTTAGCCTATAACTAAGTCACAAGGTTTCCAGGAAATGGAGCTCCCTTACTTTCACTTTTAGTTTTGTTATTACTGACTTAGCTGTGCGACTTTCACGTGTCCTTTTGTCATCACTGATTTTCAAGAAATGTGCCTGCAGAATTTCCCAGCTCCTTCCACCTATAATAACACCACGTCTACGTCAGATTTGTCAGGGGCAGGTGGGAGGGATTTGAGAGGGGCAGACCTAGCGTTACACAGGACACAGGCCTCTGATCTATCTATATATAGAGTGGGGCTGGAGGATACAGCAGCCATATCCACACAGACCAGGCAGAGCGAAGGAGACACAGAACTGTGAGTTTAAATTACATACCGTTTTGTTGAACACTTCAATCTTAGCATACGCGTTTTTTTTACAACAGACACTGAACTTTTCAAACAACTTGAATTTTATATTGTGATCTGACTTGTGAAGTTATTGTGCTGCTCTGACTCGTGTGGAAGACATTTTTTCAGAGTGCTGGCACAAATACAGACCTGTTTGTCTTTCTATTCTTGTGAGCATTGTCATTAACATAAAGCATGCCCTGGCCCCTTACCCTAATCATAACCATCCTAACTAACTGTCTAACCCCAGCCCTAAACAGAATCCTAACCTAAACCTAATTCGAACCTTAATTTTAATGCCAAGTTTTAACCTTCAAACTCATTTTTTTAAGCATTGAGGGATGGTTAAAAATGTCCTCACAATATGAGTTACTTGGGAAGGATGATGAGGAGTCAGTTTTTGAACTGGACTCTTATTTGGGTCAAATGAACTTTCCCATCCAGCTGGAGTTTAACCCAAAACTACAGAAATATAAGTGATGCTTTTTGAGTTCTGATTGTCTAAATGGGATGGCTAAATGGGTTTCAATGCTGGTTGGTAAAGATAGTCCCGTGTTTTCCCTCTATTAGCTATTTTCAAAAATTGTTTGTCATGTTTGCTCATCATGAATTATATTTATGACAGCATACACAGAAAGTCATGTAAAGTTTCCCAGCAAGCATTTTTTGGTTTAAAAAACGTCTAATAGCCGTCTACATGAAGACCTGACATCTAGGCTAAATCACGGCTGAATTTGGGCTGTCAGTGAAAATTTGATAGACGTCTAACCATAGCCAAAGTGTAGACATCATCAATTATATGGCTATGTAGAGACCATGTCCAAAAAATGGAGATCAACATATTTTAATTACTCTTGACTCTCCATACGTGATTGAATATCATACCGCATGCCATCTGCAATGGCGAAAATTACATTTAATCAATTTCAAAATTAAATCGGCTAGATTTGGGTTACATGTAGCTAGACTAAATCGGAGCTAAATATAGCCAATACGTTTAAATCACGACTATTGCTTGCTGGGTTGTAACACCCCCTTAAGTCATGCTGAATTGAAAATAAAATTTGCAATGCCTGCAACATTTCACCAGCAGTAAAATCAGCATGATGGATCTGTAATTTGTTGTGCTTTTATTTATTTATCAAACAATTAGCTCAATCAGCTTGAATGGTTATGTGCATTTGCAGTGACAGTTTCTTGTTGTATTTGTCTCAATGCCTTTGTCACACAGTATGTCTGTAAAGATGAAGAGCAGATAAAATGAAGAAAGACGACGATGACAACACAGCAGCAGGAGGAGGAGACTCTGAAACTAAATCTGTACCATCTGCAGCCAGTGAGAAAGGTAATGTTTTAACCACTGTGCATCCCTTCACAAAACTTTCCTCCGGTGTCATTAGAAGACAAAAGTTTCTGTCAAAAAATTATTTGAAAAAAAAAAAGATATATTAATATTATTTTTCTCTGTCACTGAATTTAATCCAACCATCTTCAGTCCTGATCATAACTACCAAATATTCCATCATTTTCAGAATTGTAACCGTTTAAATGCCAGTTTGTTGAGTTAATGCCACTGTTTTTTTTCTTATGAAAATAAGGTATTTTTATATATTGTTTAATTATATATTATTGTTATTATGGCATATTTTTATTTGATAAGCAACATTAATATTTAATGCATTTTTATTTATTTTTTAAACAGTGTCAGATTAAAAAACATTGGCTCTGATCATAACTGCCAAACATATATTCATTTTCAGAACTCTAACCCCAGTTCTTCAGACAAGATGCTATGTTGGGGTTTTTGAATGTGTATTTTTTTTTTTTTTTCAAATAATTCAAATCATATGTGTAAATCTTATTAACCTGGAATGTTTAACTGACCGAAACAAATTCTTTTATGTCTGATCGTGCAATCTGCTTGTTGTTACATCACCCTGCTGTAGACGAGGAGAAGAGAGCAGCTAAAACAGAGGTAAGGATGACATCTTATGGTCCTCAGTTGTCATTGTTCATACAGAAGCATTTCTTTTTTAAATGCTATTTTTCTGAAATTATGTCAAAGTTCAACACGAATACTTGAACCTTCAGCTGAAGATTGGAGCCTTTTGCCTTGTTAGTTTACAGTGAGTTTGAGTCCTTCAACTTCCTGGTTGAACACATGGATGAACTGAAACAACACTTGCAGAAGAGATTCCTTTTGTCTCACTAAAATATAAACCTGGTTGCATTTAGTCGAACATGTACCTAATGTCAAAAGTTCTAACCTGGTTAACGTATGTTAAATAAAATAATGTTTTCATAGTGTAATCCAGTGAATGAACCCAGTGATGCTGAACACTCAAAGAATGATGACAGCACAACAAAAGGAGGAGAATCTGAAATCAAGCCTGTACGATCGGCAGATCCTGGGACAGGTGAAATTTTCATGAATATTGCAATAATATGAAAAAATCAAGAATAGAGCTAATGAAGCTTTTAAACGGGCACTGTGTAGGAATTTCTCCCACCTAGTGTTGAGATCGTATATTGCATTCAAACGGATAGCGCACTCTAGCGCATCACTGTTTCAAGCGCGTATTGCAACAACGGTAGCTGCTGTGTACCAAAAAGCTATGATAACATTGATGAAACCATGTCATCCGATATTTCATGGAGTATTCATTCAGGCTGCTACACAGACACAAGTGACGCGAGTTGACAAACCCCCTCCTCACCATGCTGGCTGTGTTTACAATGTAGGACTGTTGGGGCAGGTGTAAATCGAAAACAAACCAATCACGTCTTGTCTTTTGACAACTGACAAGTGGCTCAACCTCACACACCTCATCTCTCTCCACCTGGGAAAGACTACCCCGATGCTGACCCTCGTTTTTTGAAATCGCTGACATTGCCTTTTTGCCTTTTTTCAAATGCACCGGCACTTGTGACTAGCCTGCTTGCTGCTGTTTTTCATCACTCTACCTGCAGGAAAAACCGGACCGGAAACCGACAAGTGAAAACGCGAAAGGCGATTCCGTATTTCTCAAGTATGTCCCTGTACATACCTGTATTTTCAAGATGGCGCATGTACATGATGAGACACCGGTCGCAATGTATATGTAAATGAGAATTTCGGAGCTTATGAACATACTTAGATATGCTGATGGAGGTAAATACACATGTGCTAGGACACACTTTTGACTGCAAAATTTGTTTGTCTCAAAGAACAACTGAAAGTGTTACACATAGTGCCTTTAATGTTCAAAATAGATTACAGTTATTATAAATAGAAAACCAAGATATCAGTTTAAAAGTATATTGCTCCATCCCTCATATAATACACTTATTCTATTGCAGGTACCTTAAATATGGATAAGAGAGGAAACAAGGATGAGGTAAGAAACTCCATATTTAATTCATTAAAAGTTAAGGATGATTTACTTTATACCTCATTGTATGGTGTTACAATGCTTTACATACAGGACATATTTATTTACTTATTTACAGCAGTCAGTGAAGACTTCTGAAGAGATCAACAGGAAGGAACAATATCAAAGAGAAACCGAAACACTGCTTGGCAGACTTCACCTTCAAGACAAACATCAACAGAAGTTGTCACCAGCAGATTTTCTTAAAGTAGGTCCACCTGTGAAACAGGACCATGAAACATCTGAGAAGGAACTCGGTCATACTTTTCTTCAGAGGTTGATGATGTTAGACTACAGAGCCAGATATATTCCTGTAAGACAGGATAGTGATGAGGAGACCCATTCAAAATCTGTTGTAGCGTCTGACACTGTTGATACAGGCGATGACTTCAGTCATTTTTATAGCACCACTGCAGACTTTGATCAATCAAAACAGACTCACATGCATCCAATGGATGTTCAAATGGCAGTATTTCACTGCTCAGACAGCTTTTTGAAGCAGAACATGATTACAAAGCTATCACAATGTCAGTATGCCTTACCTTTGCTTGTTCCTGACCCAGTCACAATGGACATTGAATGTCCACTGTGGACTTTCAGACAAATAAGAAAAACATGGAAGGTAACTGAAATCAAAGATAATTCAAACATTGTCACCATGAAGAGTATGCCCATCTGCAAAGCTGAGACACCCATGGTGTCATTTCTCCGCCTGGGTTCACTATCTCTGTCTAAGTCACAGCTGATTAACACTTTGATCAATGAACGTCACAGCACCTTCTTCCACAGAAACTGCCCAGGTAGCACCAAGTCTCGCCATCTGATGGATGGTGTGGCAGAGATTGCCTGGTACTGCCCTGCTGGAAAACCCAATGATGCCTTCACTGACTGCATTGCCTTCTGTAATCTTCATGGTGATGCCCAGTTAATTGAAAAACAGCGTAACATATTGACTGAGAAATCTTCAATCAATGTGGTTCTTGTACCAACTCTGGGAAAAGGTGACAAAGGTTCTGCAGTTATGTCAGTCCTTCTCAAGTCTCCGACGCCCCTCATATGTCTCACTGCTGATAGTGAATGTGATGCTGTTGAGAAAATAAAGGGAAAATACATAATGGGTCTCAGGGACAGAAGCCAGTCAGATGTGTCTGAAGAACTGAAAAAAATCATTGGAAGAATTTTGTCAGGACCACATGCATCCTTCTGGCTTGAAACCATGGCTGAAGTCTCTGGAATCAGAGTGGATGAAGACGACAAAGTCTGCCAAAAAGGAAAATCTGCTGCAATGAAAATTGTGAACTTGCTTCAGGGGATGGATGTGTCAAAGATCAAAGATACATTTCTCCCTTGTCAAGGCCAACTATGGCACAAGTGGTGCAGAATAAACAAAGAGCTTTATCACCTCAAAGGACACATTGAGAAAGAGAAATGTAAAAAGCAACAGGAACTGATGCAGATACGACAAAAACAACGCACCACTTCCTGTACTGAAGTAATGAAGTTGTTCATTAAAAGCCTCTCGTCGTTGCCATCAAAGGAGAAAGAGTATTTCCTGAAGTGGACTCAGATCTTAGCAGATGCCCTCTCCACAGATGATCTGTGTTTAATTTTACAGAGCTATGATGAAAAGTGGTCTGAGGTCTTGGCTTTGAAAGAGAAGCATGACAAATCTGATCTGTTAAAAAGCAAGCAAACTGAGCTTGAACGAATATCAACAAAACTACAGTCTGCCACTTTCGGTTTGGAGCACATCTTTAGAGAAATGGGACAGATCTATGAAGCCCATGCATCTCTGCAGAAACAAACAAAGATGAGAAAAACTGACTGGTCTAAATACCCTGAGCTGGCTGCAGAGCTGATGATATCAGGACACCCAATGGAGCTGATGGATGGTGATGCAGGTCATGTACCTTAAAAATGGATCTCTAGTCTTTTAGATGAAGTCATCAAGAAACTGGGCGACAAGAGAGTTTTTGTTTTGTCAGTGCTGGGTGTACAAAGCAGTGGAAAATCAACAATGCTGAATGCCATGTTTGGGTTACAGTTTGCAGTGAGTGCTGGCAGGTGCACCAAGGGTGCCTTCATGCAGCTGGTCAAAGTTTCAGATGAGATCAAGAAAGACTTTGAGTTTGACTTCATTCTAGTGGTGGACACTGAAGGACTGCGCGCTCTTGAGTTGGAGGGTAACAGCACTCTTCACCACGACAATGAACTGGCAACGTTTGTTGTTGGTCTGGGAAACATGACACTGATCAACATCTTTGGAGAGAATCCAGCGGAGATGCAAGATGTTCTGCAGATTGTTGTTCAGGCTTTCATGAGGATGAAAAACGTTAAACTTTCTCCAAGTTGTGTGTTTGTTCACCAGAATGTTACAGATATTGCAGCTTCAGAGAAAAACTTGCATGGAAAAAGACAGCTGCAAGAAAAACTGGACAAGATGGCCCAACTAGCAGCCAAAGAGGAGGTTTGTAATGCTGAGTGCTTCCGTGATGTCATTGCATTCGATGTGCAGAAAGACGTGAAATACTTTGCCCAACTATGGGAGGGAAGTCCACCTATGGCTCCTCCAAATCCAGGGTATAGTGAGAGTGTCCAAGAGCTGAAGAAGTTCATCCTCTCCAAAGCTTCACAGTCAACTGGAATTACTCTCTCACAGTTCAAAAGCAAAATTCAGGACCTGTGGAATGCTCTGATGAATGAAAACTTTGTTTTCAGTTTCAAAAACACACTTGAAATTGCAGTGTACAGAAAACTTGAGGTCCAGTATGGGAACTGGACCTGGGCCCTGAGGAGCAACATGTTGACTATTGAGAACGGGCTTTACACCAGAATTGAAAACGGAAAACATGACAAGGTTGAGCTCAGATATCTACATGAGGAAATGAAGATAACCTATGAAAAAATCAAAAAAGCAATGACAACATACTTTGATGATGACAGAGACAAAGAAATACTGGTTCAGTGGCGAGGACGATTTGAAAGTAAAATCAAGGAGTTTCATGAAGACCAAGTGAGAGGAGTCAAAAAAAAACTGGATGAAGTCATTGAGCAGAAAAATGCTTGTAAAAAGCTTGATGATAAGAAGACAGAGTTTGAGAACAAACTGCTACAAAAGAGCAAAGAGCTCGCTCATCAGTTAAAGGACAAGGCAAAAGATGAAGAGGAACTTAAAAAACAGTTCAAATCAGTTTGGAGTGGATGGGTTAGTGAACTAAATGCAGGAACAAAACCTATTGAGGAAATAAACTATAAAAAAGATCAGGCAACTATCCTTCAGGAGCTTGGTTTTGAATGGTCTCTTATAACTGAATCTGAAAGCAGTGGCAGATACAAAAAAATATCAGAGGTGGGTGATTACATTCATCATGTGTGTCTCACCAAGGACAAAGGTCTCTGCATCCCAGGCCAACAATCCCAAGATGATAAGAAGGAAAATACGAGCAACGAAGATCAAGGACGAATGTCAACAATTTGGCAGTCTTTTAAAAAAATGTTCCAATTTAGGCCAACAGAACAAACCAAAGAACATACATCAAGAAGTTCTTTAGTATCTGAAGAACAGGAACTCATCAGATCCCTCATTTACAGTATTGAAAAACAGTCCCTTGATGCAATCAAGGGCAAACCTGTTGCTACAAGAGGCTACAGTCCAATTTACTTCCAAGAAGTGGCCAAAAATGTCAAAGAGAAGGTGAAAGAGTTTGAATCAAAAAGGAAATATGCTGTGAAGAAGGAGTTTACTGTTGATCTTATTCTGTTTGTGTTTGAAAAAGCAGGGAGATGGCTTTCAGAGTCCCATAAGAAATTCAGAATGAACAACGATGCAGTCACTTACGTAGAAAGCAAGAAAAAGCAATATTACAACATTTTCAGCAGCTTCTGCAGAGGAAGCTCATCTGCTGTTGTGTTTGGAGAACTGATCTGTGAGAAACTGAAGAGTTCCACTGTTGAAGCAGTCTGTAACAAGACTGCTATTGATCTTGCTGGAGAGATGAAGTGCAGTTTCCCAGCATTCAGTGGGAACAGGTTGAACTTGGAGAAACACTTGCTGAAGTCACTGGCTGAGAAAGAGGACTTTGATGATTTTATCACCTACATCCAACACCCAAGAAACCAAGCAGAGACTTTTATAGAAGAGCAAGTACAAAAATACATCTTCACAGACAATAAAAATAAAGCTCGGACAATATTCAAGAAAAATGTTGAAGACATCAATAAGCTTGTGAGTCAAGCTTTATTCACTGCAACAGATAAAGTCAAAACCCAGAGTGGAGACTCAGACATGTGGGTGGAGGAATTTTACAATTTGCTAAAAGATGAGCTGACATTCAACACCTTTTGTTGTCAAAACTTCAGTGACATCAATGATTTTGACTTTGTCAGAGAAGAGATAGAGAAAGGCCTTGTATCTGTCATGAAGGAAGTGAGCAGTATCTCACTGGATAAGATGGAGGAATTCAGGATGAAGCCTGATCAAATCCTAATTGATCAACTGTGTAACTGCTGCTGGGCAAGGTGTCCATTCTGTGGAGCTGTTTGTACCAACACGCTAGAAAACCACAGTCCTGACAAACACAGTGTGCCTTTTCATCGGCCCTCTGGGGTAAAAGGATGGCACGATATAGACACAATGGACCTGGACATCAATTTCTGCACAACATCAGTTGCAAGTGATGACTTTTTTTATCCTTATTGGCATTCATATGATTCCTTTCCTTACAAACACTATCAAAGGGCTGGGAAGAAGTATGCAACATGGCAAATTACTCCTGATGAGTCAAAGCTGACATACTGGAAATGGTTTGTATGTCGATTTGAAAAGCAACTGGAAGACCGCTATAAATTAAAATTCCAGGGCAGGGGAGAAATTCCTCCTGAGTGGAGAGACCACAGTAAACAAGAAGCTATTGAAAGTCTGGATGAAATGTACAATCTGTGACTGAGCCAGAAACAACCAAACTCTACTCAGTATAACAGAAACTGTCTTTAACTGTTGAAAAGAAATAGGAGTTTTTGATTTGATTGAAGGAGCGCGACAGTAGCAATATTCAGGATGAGGCCTTCCCCAAGATGACTGAAAGAAACAGCACCTATTTATAATGTGATCAATATGTATCTCAGTTTGTTTTGCAGGATAACATTATTTAGTCAGGATTCCTGAAAATGCCATGAAGCAAAGGCGAACACAACAAATGTGTAATTATAAATGGCATGTTTGTTAGCCATTAAAGGATGATTGTAAAAAAGTATACGACAGATCAGAATCAGTCATAGGTTTTTATGCCTCCGTGTGGGCAAAAGCTGTAGCTGGAGGGATTATGTTTTCGGGTTGTCCGTCTGTCCATCCCTTTGTCCCATTATTGTGAATGAGATATCTCAAGAACACCTTGAGGGAATTTCTTCAAATTTGCTTCAAATGTCCACTTGGACGTAACAATGAACTGACTAGATTTTGGTGATCAAAGGTTCAGGTCAAAATTACCTTGCGTCTGAATCATTCTCGTGTATGCGGTATCTTAAGAAGGCCTTAGGGGAATTTCCTCAAATCTGGCACAAACGTACACTTTGATGGTAGGGAATTTCTTTAAATTTGGCACAAACAAACACCGTGCTGCCCGGTTAGTATACCAGCATATATCAATTTCTCACTAGTACTAGTATTATTTCCATGTATTTATTCCAGATATTTAACATTGTAGTATTTTCAAAACATCTCATAAATGGTGAAAAATCATACTGATACAATTTCTATACAGTCGAATAACATTAAATATATGTTGTCTAAACAGTGAGAATTTATTTTATTTTATTTATTTTTATTAAAAATTGTAAATGTATTATCTTAGCATCCCTACCATGTCCATGAATGGACAATTCAACTATTTGGTTTAGCATGGCTTTAGAATGTTAAAAAAAAAAAAAAAAAAAAATCAGACTTACAGTTATTCTGCATAAATTGTTTAACAACAATGAAGTACTTTTATTTTGTAGTAATTACTTAATTTCAATTACATTAGCTTGGCATCACTCCCTTTACTCTAAAAGGACAAATGAACTGTTTGGTAGCGCATATTTAAAAAAAAATATTTGACCCTATTAGACCTTTATTTCTTGTATAAAGTTACATAAGTCTGTTCAGTCAGACCTCTGAAACTAGAACGTCAAAAAAACACATGTCCACCTTTGACAATCCTACCACACAGAGCCCCAATGTCTGGAATGAATCTTTCCTGACTTCCTGTAGCAGGTGAACTAAAAAGGCAGAATATTTAAAGACACAGTGACATCTAGTGGACTTGTTTTGCATGACATACTTTAACCAAATGGTAAAGATAGGTTAATGAGGTTGGGTGAACATTTTTTATTCAGCTATAGTGACTCAAAATGTGCTCTACTTAACAGTTTAGGTGAAAGTTCAAGGGTAAAAAACAACAACAACAACTTCAAATTTGGCACAAACATCAACTTGGATGCAAGGAAGAGCTGATTAAAATTTTGTGGTCAAAGTTCAAGATCCATGTGACCTCACTCACAAAACAAGTTTTTGACAGTCACTTAAGAATTCATATAACTATGACCAAATCTACACAAATCTCTAATAGAACAAGATGATGAAGTGATGAAATTTTATATCAAAAAGGTCAAAGGTCAGCTTCACTGTGACATCATAACGTTCTACTGAAACATTTTTCTGGCCATTATTCAACATCATAAGTCAGAAACAAAAAGTTTGATCAGTATTTGGTCAGATACTGAACTGGTGATACTAATCTTGGGTGCCCATCTTGAAACTGTGCTGATTATATAGATCTTCTGTGCTGCTGAGTTTAAGATGTGTGTGAAGCATCCATGTTTCAGAATATGCACCTTCTTTGCAGCAACATTAGAAGCACTGTCAACTGTCATGACATCATATGACTTTGGACAGACGTGGGTATAAACTGTAACTGCAAACTGACATGTTCATAAAACTAAAAGATGACAAACCAAGTTGTCTAATTAAAAATACGTTTTGTTTTTATTCAAGTAAAGTCATCTTTATTTATATGGTGCATTTTATACACAATAAAATGCAACACAATGTGCTACCACTTAGAAATGACATATAATAATAAAACAAGTGCAAATGACAAGTAGAGAAAGAATCAGTGCCAAAATTACAAATACCCAAACATACAAGACACACACACACACACACACACACACACAGAAGAAGTCAGCCATAGACTGTTATGAAGAGAAATGTTTTTGACTTGAGTTTAAAAGTATTCAGTGTGTGCCTCTCACAGGTCCACAGGCTGGGTGTTTCATCTGCTGGGACATATATGCAAAAGCCAGCCTCTCCTGCTTTAGAATTAGTATGAGCAATGGTTGGATGACCTCATGTACTGAAGCGCAGGACCATATAGAGCTTTGTATACAAGTAACAGGATTTTAAAATCAAGATCAAAATTATTATTATTATTTAAATTATTATTATTTTAGGATGCTTTCTCAAAGTCTAACGGTTTTTTTTTTAAATGGTGAATGATGATTTGTCTTTCTAAAGTATTTGGAGTATTCAACAATTTTACACTTTTGAAAAAGAGATGTCAGTCTTGTGAAAAAAATGAATGTTTCATTTTAGCGCAATAAATAAGCCCTTCATACAGTCATTGGAGTGTCCGTCTCCTTTGTTATTGATAAGCATTTGAAGAAGACCTGATTTTCTTTTGGCACACTCAAAAATATGGCTAAGTCCTGTCACATACTAATTTAAGTATGTTTAATCTTTTTTGACCCAAAATCACAAATTGTGGCAAATTCTGTCAGCAATTTTTAGTTTTAGTCTTGGTGCTGGACATTTAGTCTCACCTTCATCAAAGAAAACCTTAAACATTTTAGTCTAATGTAAGCCGGTAAAAACACATGACATTCTAGTCACTGAAAAACTGGACAGATGATTGTTTTACATACAACATTTTAGTCTAGTTTAAGTGAAGACCAAGAGTGAGCATTTTAATCAAACTTAAAAAACTGCCTTTAAATATGATTTCATCTGATTCATTTAAGGCTAAAGGAAAATTAGCCATAAAATGACAGGCTGTATGATTAAGACTGCAGCTTTGCAGAGAGGGTGTCTGGTCTGATGTTGTTCTGATTTACATATTTATCTTTGTACAGACATGATTATGAATTATTATGAAGACAGTAAACAACAACAACAACAACAACAACAAAATACACTGCTGTCCTTTTTTAGGCACAGTTACAAACTGGTATATTCATGTGTTTATAGTAGATTGTACACTACCTATCATAACTTTTAAAAGAACACAATTGTAATGTTGATGGGGATGATTTCGATTTAACAGACTGTTCAAATATGTTTTGTGGCTCGAGAGAGAGATTTGGCATTGCAAGATTTGTGAGAGCTTTTCTTTGCCCCTCCACTCCTTTAAATCTCCCCTCCCAGACAGCTATGACAACACAGCAGCAAGAGGAGGAGAGTCTGAAATCCAATCTGCAGCAGCAACGCAAATAACAGAAATATTTGGGGAAAGGTTTAGAGGCCCTGAATCATCACCCTTACACGACTTGGTACTGCACTATCAGAGCACTTGGTTATTTAACAGTAAGGTCACTCCAAAAAGACAAGTTGATCCAGTCTCAAGCTTTTGGTTTTAATTAAAAACTACCATCAGGAGCAGTTTTAATTATAACTGAAAGCTTGAGACTGAATCAATGCCTCTGTTGTTTTTCGGACTAACTTCTTCTTATATGTGTTATGGATCAGTGTCTACTTAATGCTTTCTAAACATGAACTATTGTAGTGGCTGTAGCTACCAGAGTTACACTACAACAGTATGTGCTTGGCAGTGTTTGAGTAGTGTGACCTTTTAGCCTCGTCCTTGTTTTCCTCTAAGTCACAAGGTTTCTGGGAATTAGAGCTCTCTTACTTTCACTTTCAGTTGATATTACTGATTTAGCTGTCTTACTTTCCTTTTCTCGTTTGTCATCACTGATTTACGAGTACACAAGTAGAGTTTCTCAGCTGCTTAAACCTATCACACCATATCAGATTTATTAAGAGCGGGGGGAGGGGTTTGTGAGGGGCAGAGGTGAAGTGTGGAGACAGTGGTAATGGTGGTGCTGGTGGGGTGAAGAGTGATGGCTAAAGATAAAGACTGATGTGATGTGGGGCAAGACTTCTGATGAGTTCAGTGGAAGGACCCATGGGTGCTGGTTGTGATGAAACCTGGAGGTGAAAGGGGTGGAGGAGGGTTTCGTCGATCTGACAAGGAAACGACAGCTGACAGCAGCAGAGAAATAAACAGTTTTAAAGTTTGACAGCAACTCACAGAGGTTGTGGCAAAATCTGATTGGTTCAAGTGAACGAGTGAACGCCCTCAGTTAACTCATTGATTT